TGCTCAGGACCCTATCAACCTCTTGAAGAGAGTAAGAGAGGCCTTAGAGAGTGAACATGACTACCGCACCACGAACGGGTTGCTGTTTGAGAAGACAGACGTCGTAGATAGGCTGTGCATTCCCAATAGTGAAGAGATCCGAAGTGTGATCCTAGGGGAACGTCACGATACAGAAGGACACTTCAGTTGGCAAAAGACATTAGCCAACCTGGAATGAAAGCTGACTGTATAGAGTACGTACGTAGTGGCAAAGAATGCCAACGCAACAAAAGTATGACGCGAGCCCCATTGGGTCTTCTCAGACCCTTGCCTATCCCTTCAGGACCCAGAGAGTCTATGTCCATCGACTTCATGGATGCAAGGGTTAGGAGTAGGCATGGCAAGAGCCAAGCCATGATCATAGTAGATTGTTTTAGCAAATATGCAATTTTTGTTCCTTTGCCTTCTGAGGCACGTACAAAGTTAGCTAAGGAGAAGCTTTTCGATTCCTGGGTAAGCGAACATGGTATTCCGTTATGCATCGTTAGTGATAGAGATACACTATTTACTAGTCAGCACTGGAAAGAACTTATGCGAGTCTACGGCTCAAAGTCATTCGGTCGTCACCCAAAGACTAACTGCCAAACTGAATAGATGAATAAGATCCTGCAGCAGATACTAGGGATGTATGTTAGACCAGATCAGATTAACTGGGATGTGATGCTCCCTAAAGTAGCTAGTGCTTACAATAACAAAGTTCACCTAGCTATTTGTCGGACTCCTAACGAGTTCCACAAGTCCTTTAGACCACGCAGGCCGTTTGAAGGGCTGAACTGTGACCAAATACAGAGACTGCCAATCGAAAGTAGAGAGTTTGCCTTACAGCATGAGAAGGAAATTGCAAGAGTGACCGACAATCTGAGAACAGCTCAACACCGAATGATAGAGCAAGCTAACAAACATCGTCGGCCATCGCAGTTCTAGGTAGGTGACTCAGTCTGGGTCAATCTCAGGAGTTCCCCCTCGAAGAGAACATCTCACAGAAGCCGTTATCCGCGTATAGGGGACCGTGGCCTGTCCTAGAAGTAAAAGGTGGAGAGGACGGACCTTCCTAAACAGTAGAGATTCCACCACACCTCCACACCTATCCAGTCTTCCATGCGTCTAAGCTACAACCTTGTGTCATCAGCCAACAGTTTCCGTTGTGTCGTTCGATGATTCCGCCGGACACAGAACCCAGGGCTCGATCCCTAGACCTCCCCCTTAACCAAGTACCCGTTGACCCGTGTGTTTGAGCCCGCGACCTGTTCTCTGAGAGTCGTATTTCGGCTGTTGTATATAGCACGGTCGCAAGGGTTTGGCCCGTAGACCTTAGACTTAGCGGTCATAGGTACGTTATAGGTCATAGCTGCTACAGTTGCAAAGGGTCAATACTACGACCTTCTAGAAGCTGTAGGACTGACTCTTCGTAGGTCCTAGGGGTCAGTCAGCCGCTGAGTCAGCAAGGAGCAGTCCTAGCACAGTCAGCAAACGGCAGTCCCAGTCCTACCTAGCCTAGTCAGTGGTACCCAGTCCCAGTCGCACTTTAAAATTAGCAAGTACCATGTGGGACTGTGTGCACCCTGGGCCCAGCGTCCAAGGGCAGACCACGGACGATTAGCAAGTACCAACGTCAAGTCATTCATTCATTCTGCCGGTGAGCCATGCGGAAGCGCTGTCGGAGCGTCTTGTGCTACAGAAGTCTGCAGGTGCCGGAAGAAGAAGAGGGCTCAGAGGAAGAAGACATGACCATGGCCGCGAGCTAGCTTAGGAGAGAGATGGCAGCCATAGCTGCCACGTAGGATAGGGTAGGAAGTGTGTGTGTATACGGGACATCCAGGGTGATCCAAGTGTGCATATGCATGTGCGAATAAGTTGCTGGTGGATACAGTTGATCGCGTGGGAACCTTTGTCTGGCGCCATGCACCATAGCCATCAAAGACAAGTTTGAATCTGAGCTGTGTTCCTGGCCACGTTTTATCTCTGAGCTTTGTATGGGCACTTCCCGCCAAGTTTGATCGTCATCTGTTTGCATGCACGCTGAAGCGAGGTTGAGGACAAGTCTGATTGCAAAAGCACAAATCGGTTGCTAATTCTCTGCTTTGCGTTTCCACCACCCACATTTCAGCTCAATGCATCTATATCCTTCCTCAGGCCTCCATCTGGAGGAATTGCGGCAGCAATTCCTTGCTGCTGAGAAACTCGAGCTTGCAGTTCACATGATTGCGCCTTCTTTCCAGATTTTAGCTCCCGAAAAAGTCCGCATATGCTTCAGAATCCATATGATTTGCACATTACATTCACCACACAGTGACTACTAAGCTTCTCCAAGGGAACACAAACAAAACGAGAACAAAACCCCAATCCCAAAGGTAGACAATCGTTTGGCAACCAACTACTAGTAAGATGCCTTAAATGCCTGGTTGTGCCTACCTATTTTCCCGGCAAGAATTCAATTTCATAGCGACTTCTTGGAGTCTTGAGATAACTCGTGAAATTTCCAGGAAACCACTCGCCATGCATACAGAGCCAACTGCCAGACAAACGACACCACCATGACTGCTTGGGTTTTGCTGCTTCGCGGAGGAGAGGAGAGCACGATTCTAGAGCAAGCTTGAGTTCTCAGATAATGCACGACTCAAGCCTACCATCCTGTTCTCTGATGGCTTGCAACCAATGGCTCTCTGACAAATCATGATGCAACATAAATTGGCATTCTGAGAGGACAGTGAAGCTACCAGCCATCCACTGCTTGCAATGCTGTACCAACTGCTAGTTCCCTTTTAGCCCTTGGTTGTCTGCAAATGGCTTTCCACTCAATCACTGGCACGTTATCTGGCACTAACCGACTCATGAAGCTATGTGGTAGACTAACTTGCCTGCACCGCATTAGCAAAAACTTCTCTAGTGATAATTTTTCAGCAAGGCTCAGGGTACACTTTCAGCTCTCCATTCCCTACCTACTTGCAGTCCTAGCTGCTTTATACTTTAGAATTATTGGTTTCCTGGGTCTTCCTTTCCTTCCGTTGCTCGTAGTTCCTATGCTCTTTTTTCATTTCACCAAATCCGCTAGGTGTCTCAGCAGCCTGCTCACCGGCGGAAATCCTCCTGGTCGTAGGCCTGATGGGAAGCCAGAGGCACTACTACCGGTAGTCAAAAGGAGGAGTTGCATCTGCTGGGAACCGGGCCCAGGGTCCTTTCATAAACTACTAGAAATATCCAGCAACATGGGTCAGCATTGATTGCCCAGCCTCTGGGGTCGTGGTTTAACTGACCACGGAGGGAACACAGACCTCTTCAGGCTTGCCAGCCTGCCGCAACAAGCCTTCACAACTCGCCCATGCCATTAACCACGCAGCCTAACCACCTAATTTTCCAACCACTCACACAGAGCTTCCAACCTTTCATGGTTTGGAAACTCTGTGTGAATGGCGACTCAGCAAACCCCAGAACAAGATATATCCTCGGGAACTTTTTCAGAGACCCGTGGGTGTGAAAAGTCAAGAGTGTGGTTTAAAGACCAACTCTTGATCCCATTTCGTATGGTGAAGCTCGCATGCGGCAGTCCCCCGTTTGCAAAACTAATATCTGCAACACTAAACCCCCCAAGCCAGACGCTACTCAAATTTTAGGAGAATTTTCTCCTTCCATCCTATATGCGGGCTCCTTAGACCACTTCTGTTTCTAGGTCTCCAATGCGTCGCTGTCCCCTGTCATTTCTATCCTTCTGTTCAGCGTGTCCTTCCCACATATGCCTCATTCTTGTCCCAACCATCGCCCAGTTGCCAGCACCACACCCAGGAAGGTTACCAGAAGGACCTTAACACGTACCTCATTCCAGTTCAGTGTCTCCTTGTGCGGTCTGCTACACCAACAACGAGAAGGGTCGCTGTATACACAACTTAAAACTTCGAAAACAAAAACGAAACAAAAAAACAAATGAGACGATCACGTAGGATTACACATGTCTATTCACTGTGCGCTGAAGAAGGGTCTCTCTGTCTGTTCGAGAAAGGTCGCTCTGCGCGTTGGAGAAGGCCGGTATAATGAGAACAACCATCGACTGGGATTACACGTGTCCATTCACTTATAACTCTTCAGAATAAACAAAACTCTCGTTGTCGCTAAGCCATGACTTCATTCAAGCCACACCAACAACGACTTTTCGGACAGCCAACAGCTAGTCCTATCTGCTTTCCTCCTCATGCAACTCGGCTTCCTTCACCTTCCCTCTGTAACACTTTCTTAAATAACTCCACGCATTCTGGATTGTTTAAGAGTCGGGCTGAGAGTCAACCATGTGACACACACAAACACAACACAAAACACACACAAACAATCCTCTGTGCTTTTCTATTGCGCCTGTAATTGGTCCTCCATACTCTCAACTTTACCCATTCACACTCCGGAATCTCTCTCTCTCTCTCTCTCTCTCACACACACACACACACACACACACACACACACACGCACACACACACACGCACACACGCACGCACACACGCACGCACACACACGCGCGCGCGCGCGCGCACATACATTCATTTTGCGTTCCACGAGTTATCCCTATCTCCAGGGTAGTAAATCACGCAACCCAAAAGACACAGGAAACGTAAGATGTCTCTCTCACAAACCGAGGTATCATCTTCCACCCCTACTCGCTTTGCCGACCCAATACTCGCTTTCCAGAAGTCTGCACATACATACAAATCACCGTATTTCATCCCGCCTCCACCCCTACTCGCTTTGCCGACCCAATACGCTTAGAATATTATCCTCCATTATGGACACGCAGAAAATATATTTTAGTCTCGATGATCCAAATAGACAACGGCGTACCCGTTGAGGGAACGAGGGTTTTCTATTCGCGAATCTTTGCTGCCTCGTCCTGCTTAAGGAGAGGGAGGTTGAGATGCAGTGCCACTGCGCAGAGTGTGTGCGGAAGACAACGAAAAGGACCGGTGGTGTATCTCAAAGTAATGGCAGGTTAATTTCAAGACAAAGTAAAAGGATTGCATTCTTTTAGCGCGAACGAAAACAAAGGGTCATGGCTGCTTCATCCATACCTGCAGGCTTTGTGAATCTCCTTCTTCATTTCCCCTCCTTCGTTCCATGTTTTTTCTCCAATTTTCTATCCCGCTGCCTCCAGGCCCCTCCTCTGTCGATCTTCCAGTTGCGGGCCCCTCTAATTCTTCTTCGGCCTGACCAAAAAGGAAGATTCGCTCGCTTGATTCCGCACCTCGGCCCTGCCCCAACCCAATCCACTTTCACTTTCCTCTCCCACTTCTTCGGCGTCCCTCATTCCCACGGAGTTCTTCTACCACTGGATGGATTCTCAACGTCATCCAGACGAGGCCAGGAGCTATTCTTTCGCCCCCTGTCCCAATCGTCCATCACGCTACGTAACGTCCACAGCAGCCCCTACTTCCTGTACTCCTCCCCCTCACTGTTGCAGCTCATGCGCTAGCCTGCCATAACTCTCTTTATCCATCTCAACCCACCTCATTCCCTAGCCTACCACAACTCCTCTCCACATCCACCTCTCTCTCTCTCTCTCTCTGTGTGTGTGTGTGTGTGTGTGTGTGCGTGTGTGTGTCTGTCTCTGCGTGTGTATGTGTGTGCATGACGGGGTGTGGATCTTCACATGCCGCACCGCACATGCATCGGCACCCAGACATAAACACGCGCATCCAGGAGGCGCGGACACACGAGCACAGCACGTACACATACGCTGTCCCTCATCCGCCGTCGCGTGCATACAAGCGCGCGCGCGCACACACACACACACTCACACACACACAGGGGCTGCTACCGTTACCTTCCGGGGCTAGTTAAACAGACGGTGATCAACTGAAGCCGTCTTCAGCCCAGCAGACGGTCATTAATGTACACGGCACACAACCCTTTCGAATCTTTTCGTTAATTGAGAGCGAATACCCTTGCCTCACACTGAAGCGCGGCCGGCACCCGTGGCAGAGCTGGTTCAATTGCAAGGAGCGCTAACAGATTGTCGACTCACATTTTCAACGACCCACCTTCCACTCTTAGAAAAAATTCCGCGCGCACCTCGATTCGTCCCGACTCGGACGGTGTCTCATGCCCGTCTCCTCTCTGGTTTTCCTCCTCCCCCCCAAGCCTTCTCGCTCCGCTATCTCTCACGGCACTCTCTCGCATCCATCTCTTTCTCAGTGAAGGCGAGCAGACACTTCCCTCAAGCAGCCTGCTCTAATGCATCATGCAGGCGGTGGTTCGCCAGAGTCCTACCGCCCCCACATTTATTTCCGACTCTCGCTACCTTCAGCAATCCTGTGTGTGTCAATGGGTCGTGCACTGATTCCGACCCTCTCCAGGCCGCTTTGGCAAAGCAACGAGGAAAAAGTAAAGCCCAGGCACACGCACGAAAGCACGCGCAATCTCTGAAACCTAGCGCACGCTAACTACGCTATGAAACAACAAACAACAATCCCGTCCTGTCCGGACATTTCATCATATCTCTAGAAGTCGGCCCTGAGCCTCCAGTAGATCCTTGCAGGCAAACTTCTTCACGCCTTGCTGCGACACCCACGCGATCTATGCCGCTTATTCCCCTGCCTCGGCTCGCCAGGTATTCGAACGGAGAAGCATCCTGTCCTCCCTTCTAGTTCAAAAAGTCAACAACCCTCAATTTTCGGACGGTTCTGAGGACCTCTCTTCCCCCGTGGCTACCAAACAAGTCCTCCAGCCTACGTCCTCCTCCACGTCCTCTGCATGATAATTGCCACTGTCAGCTATCTAACAGTCACACTGTGGCAGCAGCTTCATCAGCACGTCACTCACTTTTTTCCCCCACTACGGCCGCGGCTTCTGCTTTCTGACATGCGGTGACAGGCAGCGTCAGGTAATTCAGGAAACGATGCGAAGCGTGCATCTGAGCGCCTGTCGAATCAAAAGGCGCGGTGGACAGGGGAGAAGGGAGAGAAAGGAGCCTAGGGAAGGACGGAAATGGAAATGAGGGATGAGGGGGAATGTGGTAATGAGGGAATGTGGGAACGAGGGAATGAGAGGAAGGAATGTGGGAATGGGAGACGAATGAGCGAATGTGGTAGTAATGGAGTTGGGGAGCGACGGAGAAATGTGTGAATGAGGGAGGAATGAGTGAATGTGGTACGGAATAAGGGAATGTGCGAGAGACGAATGAGTGAATGTGGTAGTAATGGAGTTAGGGAGCGACGGAGAAATGTGTGAACGAGGGAGGAATGAGTGAATGTGGTACAGAATAAGGGAATGTGCGAGTGACGGAACGACGAGGGAGGCAGTCCATCTAAACGCGCACATTGTGCACCCACAGGCCGCGGAGAGCCAATTGCGCCTTCTACTTCACACATTGTGACAGTGAAGACTGCAACAGGAGATGACAAGCGTGACCAATCCGAGCGAGGCCCACGTGGCGGATCTGAACCTCAGCCGGAGCAGAAACCAAGCTCGTTGAACCTCAGCCGGAGCAGAAACCAAGCTCGTTGGTTTCTTCGTCCAACACTTACATCAACGACGTCGTCACATCCGTACGCGCTCCCGACCGCGGCAGCCGGAGATAAGCCGGTCAAATTCAGGAAGCCAAACCAACAAGTTAGACAAGACTGGCCATACTCATCCTGACACGCCCGGACGATTCTAGAAAACCGAGCCTTGCTGCCCAACACGCCCACCTCTGCTTCACCCCCCATTCCCAGAGAAACCGCTTCCGGGGCTTTGCGATTCACCTCACGTTTGTCAAAGATTTGAAATTGATGTCCCCTTTACCCAAGCGGCCTGCCTTACGTCGTCCACCCCCGGCCTCCTCTGGTTGACCGTTCTACTCCGACACTACGGGATCACGGGGCTCCTCCTCTCCAGCGACCGACGTGCCTTCGACCAAGAGACTGATAGCCACAACGATCCCGCCCGCTCTTACCCGCCTGCCAGAGGAGAATCCCTCCTCTACTCCTACGGAGAACCGCCTGCCTGCTCGCCGTCCTCTCATCATGCCAGGGCCGAGGGCCACATTTGAACTGACATCGCTCGCCGTCCTCCCTTCAGGATGATTTAGTCCAGACTCTCGTTTCTGGTTCTAATGAACGATCGAACTGTTTGACTCGAACCAAAGGGGCTCGGCCCGTATAAATCAAGAAAAAAAAGCATCCTAAGGTTCTGTGTTTTCTGAAACAGGCCCCCTAAGCTCAACATACCTTTGCCCGCTTTTGCTAGATCTGAAGCCAGCATCAGCTTCCTGATGCCGGATGGTAGCAAAAATGCAAACAAAGTACACTGACAACCTCTAGGAGATGAGCTCCTCTTCCCTTCGCTCCTTTCCACTTCCATTCAGGAAGGGCGGAGGGGGGGGGGGAGAGGGGGAGGGAAGGTGGGGGATGAAAGAAAACGCAATTCAGCAAAGAGAAAGTCAGTAAGTGAACGGATAGTGGTCGTCCCCAACAAACCAGCATCGCCGGTGACGACAGCAAGGATGACAGAAACAAAAACAACAGCAGCTCCAAAAGCAAGGAGATGAGGAAGAAAGGCCAGCAGCAGTCGCTATCCACGAAGTGTGGAGGACGCAGAACAAAAAGCGTTTTTTGTCCACTTCTTCATCTCTTGCATCTCACATCCTCTTGCTCTTCAAGCTTTCTTGCAAGTGCTGCAACGACAATGTCGATTGTCCATGCAAGCAATCAATCAATCAAGCAAGCACGCAAGCAAGCACTCAATGCTCCAGAAGCGACCTAACTTCTAAGACAAGGAACTTGAATGAGCCACTCAAGAGACGGGCTCTACCGTAGGAATCGTGTCAAACGTGCTAAGATGACCCAGGCATAACAAATCAAATTTCAAACTACGGACTAGACCTACGTTAGGGGAAACGACGCTTCGTTCCGCTGTTCTGCAACTACCCAAGCACCCAATCAATCAATCAAGCAAGCAAGCAAGCAATCAACTAGTCAATCAACCAACGGGGCAGCCAGGACGGAGAACAAAGCAGGCGAGCAAGCAGCTCATCCTACGCTCTTCCTATCCTTGATCCTTGAATCAGGCCCCTCTAGGACTCCTGACCCAATCGATCAGTGACTTCCTACACTAACTAGACCAGAATTCTCAATCACAACCGCTTGAATGGGAGCGGAGTTCACCTCCTCTGCCGTCACCTTCAGGGCGGAATCAGCACCATTGCCGCCCTGATGTCTTCCACCCTTCAGATCATGCTCCTCTACATCCTCCTCATCATCATCATCCTCATCATCATTGTCCCCACCGTTTTCTTCATCATCCGGACGATTTACCTCACTGCTCCCTCCGGTCGATTGACCCTTCACCTCCTGCTTGGGTTTATGTAGAGTGGCTTCGACGACCCCGTTTTCTTCTTCAGCAGCCACAGCTAAGGATCGTTCTGGCAACGGCGCGACAGGCATGTCCACTAACGACGATGCAGAGGGGCAATACTCTAGCTCCCCGACTGGATGGTCGAATTTACAAGTCTGACCAAATTTACAATCACCGTTGCGTACGTAAAACGTGCAAGGAGGCTGACCTGGACGTAGCGGGAATCCCATCGGATTGAGTGCGCACCGAGCTGCTGTTCCCGGCCCAGCTCCGCTACTGCCGCTCCCACTGGCCATCGCCGCAGCCTTCCGATCTTTTGGATGATGGTAGCGACAAGACATCCCATACTTACACGCCCCAGTGCGCACGTAGTAGCGGCATTCCAGTTGTCCCGGCCTTTCGGGGAACGGGGCCGCAGCGCTGTTGCGTGGCAGAAGCTGCGGGAACAGCACGACTCCCGTGCATCCACCGGGCCCGTTATGCGACGAGGGCATTATTCCCTGCACACCGATCATTCCCGGTGGATATGGAGCCTTTGGCAGGGCAGGCAGAGATGGCGGCATCTCGGTACTCTTACTCATGAAATTGACATTAGGATTCGCTGTTAGCAGCCCTGGGTTCGACGATGGAGCGAAAGGCGCAACGGGCCCTGCAACCGGGATCACCGTGCCACCACCGCGAACAACTCCAAGGCCACCTGATGCCAGCGAGTCGCCGCCAGGGCCTGATACCGTAGCGCTCGTCGCAGCCGGTGGGGGGGAGAGAGGAGGGCGAGGAGGAGGAGGTAGATGGCTCCGAGGCGGCAAGAAAAACGAGCCTCCATCACCTGCTGCTGATCCTGCTGACATCGGCTGAGCGTGCTGCTGCTGCTGCTGAGATTGAGGAGCGGAATTTACTTGATGTGACTGAGGACGGGAAAGCAGGTGAGTAGGATCTGCAGGTGCCGGCCAAACGTACTGGTAATTCCAGCCTGGTGGCAGATACACGATACCTCCAGGATGCTGAACGAGGCAGTGGACGTGTCCAGGGCCTGAGGGCACGGCCTGCCCTGGCTGGGTGCTGAAGGGCGGGAAGCGCGCCAGACCTACAGGTCGCACAGGTACCGGAAATACCACAGGACTCACGGGAATGGCCGGCGGTCCACTGCGCCCCAGTGCACCTGGGGCTGTTTGATAGCCCGCAGAGACTGTGGGCGTCGGTACAGGTATCGGGACCGCCGGTTTTGATGGTGGTGGATATACCGGAGCCCTGCTCGAAGCGGCGATCAGCTCCGGATGATTGAACTTGCAACTGACGCCGAACTTGCACTGACCGGTTTTCATGTAGTAGTCGCAATCTTTCTGGCCCGGGCGCAAAGGGTATCGTGATCCATTCAAGACAACACCGCCCACGCGTTGAGCTTGGCTTTGAGCAGCCAGCAAAAACGTCGTGGACGCTGCGACAGGAGAGAGCCTCACTAGATGGGGACTGTGGTGGAATTTGCAACTTATGCCAAACTTGCACGTTCCAGTTTTCGCATAATGCGGACACTCCGGCTGACCGGGACGTTCAGGATGTTGAGCCGGCTGCTGACGCACTTGATGCTGCTGTTGCTCCTCCCCTCTCCGCCTCTCCGCTGACGTGAAGCTCCCCAAGGACGCAAAGACGGCTCGTCCAGTTATTGGATGACTGTGTTTACAGCTCCGCCCGTACGCGCAAGTTCCTGTCTGCAAAAAGTGCCTACAGTCTTGCTGCTTCTGCTGCTGCTGACACTGATCGCCAATTCGTTCCCTCGGAGACGGCCCCACCAAAGCCCCCCCCGCCTCCATATCTCTCTCTCTCTCTCTCTCTCTCACACACACACACACACACACACACACACACACACACACGCACGCACGCACGCACACACGCACGCAGAGTGCGTACCTATTCGCGTCTAACGTCCTCTGATGCCCTTCTCTTGCGTCAGCGAAAGTCAAGCGCCACCTCCTCGCTTTTCTGCCCTTTTTCAGTCTGTCTTCCTCCACTCTCTCCCCGCTCATTCTTCACTTACGACATATTCTTCTTACCGTCCGTGAATCCTACTCACCTCCCTCCCGCATCCACCTAAAATATCACGACGTGGCAAACCACGCAGCCGCTGATTGCCATCATATCGTGTGCTGACAAGGTCCCCCGCGCCCCCATTCCTCGTTGCTGCACGGCCGGGGTATTGTGAAGCGAAGAAGGTTCAGGAGCGAGGAATTCTGAAAAGAACCGTACTCCCGCTTCGTCTCGCGCCTTTCCTCACATTAACCTGTCTCCACAGCCGTTCAACAACAAACTCCTCGTAGAAAATGAACGCGCTCGACAATGAGCTCCAGATCGCTTGTCTTCCTGGACCGCTCTCCTCCTCAACAGAACAGGCGCCGCTTTCTTTTTTCTCCCCCCATCCTACTCGGTTTCGAATCGAATACTACCTAAATCCCTATCTCGCTTTGTGTCCTTCTCGTCGCCAGCCACGGTATGCCCATCCACCATCATTCGTCGTAGACCTCTCTCTCTCTCTCTCTCTCTATCTATCTATCTATCTATCTATCTATCTATCTATCTATATCGTCACAAATAGAACTGCCCGGTAAACCGTAGGCAGAGAGAGAGAAGAGGACAACAAACGAGGGGCTGTGACAAATCTATCTATCTATCTATCTATCTCACCTCAGCTTTTGCCCCTACCTTCCCACCCTTCGTTCCCCCTGGGACTCGCCTCCGCAGCCCCTTAATTACCACATCTTGCCGCAGTTCAACAACTCTCTCTCTCTCTCTCTCTCTCTCTCTCTCTCTCTGTGTGTGTGTGTGTGTGCGTGTGTGTGTGTTTGTCTCTCTCTGTGACTGTCTCACACACATACACACGGCAAGACGACCACGAGCACTCAAGCACGTGAGTACGTTCGGTTTGTATAGGCTACACTGCTTTAGAAGGTTGTCGACCAAAGAATTACATTGCACTAAAGAATGAGTAGCACGGCAGGTAGAGAAGGAACCCTACCATAAAATGGACAAAGACTGCGTAATGGAGATAGCGGCAATCCCTCCCTCTAAGGCCGGCGAATGCTTAGTACGGAACGACAGCCTATGATCGACGAAATTGATTCATAAAGTCGACTAAATCATGGAAGCGAGGTAACTTCAAATCGGACTCACAGACAATCACAGACAATCATATATCGTCACATATATATGTACATTATTTCGTACCGCAAACGACTTACGTGAGGACACGTTGCCTCCACCTGTACGAATGCCGCACGGAAGAAATCAATGCAGAAGACACGGCAAGATGCAGATAAGCGAATTTTTCGCTAGCCCTTTATCACGAAAGCAGAAATCAGAAAAATATGCTTTCCCGTTGAACATGTCACAGGACGTTCACAACGTAGGACAGTGAAATTAGAACCATTGCTGTCAAAGATCAAGAACAGATTTAAGAAAAAGGAACCGAAAAAATAAAGGGAGAGGAAAGAGTGATAATCCTGAATCGCACGAATCTTTGACGCAGGAGCCTAGCATGAAACAGGAGTACGGAACAGAGGAGAAAGAGGGGAGCAGGGTGGAGGGTTGAGAAAAACAGCGCAACGCACTAGAGATTCACTCGCACTCTCAGTCTTTCAATCCCACCACGCCAGCATTCAGACTCTCCGTTCACCACACGACAGACCTGTCCTGTGCCCTACGCAGAACCTCTCTCTCTCTCTCTCTCTCTCTCTCTCTCTCTCTCTCTCTCTCTCTCTCTCTCTCTCTCTCTCTCTCTCNCACACACACACACACACACACACACACACACACAAAAGACAACCGCACCCCAAGACGAGACACTCCGTGCCTCACACCCTGGCTTTGCCTGTTCTCATTCCTTCCCAGTTGCTTCGTTAAGTTTCTGTGAGTAATACTCTGTTCCTGCGAGAAACTCCGCTCAGTGCCCCTACAATGGCCACCAGGACTCCGTGCTCTTAGCAGCTACGGCGATCACTCGCGTTCTCCACTGGTCCCCGAACACGATTATTGACAAAGCTGGGGGTGGCGTTGTGCAGCGGCCCTAACCAAAGTCGTCCTCGCCGCAACGCTTCCGCTTAACCCGTTGCTCCGCGACGCAGGTGTGAGTGGCTCACCCTACTACGCAATTCCACTCGAACTCGGCTCTAAGCAAACGGTGCGCTTTTGCGACCACTCTCTAATGGTTCGCGAATGACAGAGCGCAGCTCGAGTACAATCTTGCTACATTTGTCCCTTGCCATAGGCCTATTCCCTCTCGTAACCGTGACAAATCAGCAGATTAGCACGCGGGGAGACGAACACCTCCCGCCCTACAAAGCACCACGGAAGTAAACACGCACTCCTCTTGCGGGAAATGAATGTGGCGATTGAGGCGCACCGGACACACGGCCGACCACAAACAAGCACAAAACAGACTCATCCACACTTTCGTCCGCTCCTTCGTCCGCGTGCTCGCCTCGTCTGCCCTCCTCGCACGCTACAACAAAACACGCCTGTCAGAACTCACTGCGATGCACTGCTATCCTATGCACGACGCGGCTGAGCTGGAGATGATACGATGCGTGAGCGAGAGGGCGAGCGCGAGCCGCAAGTGAGAGAAGGATGAGGCGCATGGAGACTCTACACACAAGGAAGAAGCCGCTACGAAAGCCACATGCCAAACCGCAGGCACGACATTCCCCACCTTTACAGTACAGTGAGCGTTTGCGGGCGTATGACTGGGGCGACGGAAGCGCAAGGGAGGAGGGTCTACGATACTGCTGCTGCGTTTCTGATTCTCCAGCGATCCCCGCCCGACTGCATTTCTGACTCCATGTGATTCCCGTGCTGACGTGATGATCCCGCCACTACCAGTACAGCCCGACAAGCCGCCAGCGGAGCGACACGAGAGTCTCGTGAAGAGAGCGCGCGTCAGAACCAGAGCCGTGAAGGCCAGAGAACCAGAGAGCCAATGCCGCAGGCACGCGCAGCAGAGTGGGCTGCCTGCTGGCATGGCTGAAGTAGCCTGGGAACTGCACTGGACTCTTCCTCTTCAGTGGTCAAGTTGCGGTGTCAGTTTCCCGCCTGCACTGACCTGGCCAGACCTGCCATCTGTCTGTTGCTAATCAGACTGGTCATATTCCATCAGACGCCATCACAGACACCCCATCCGCACACCCAGCCCGCCTGTCACCAGCTCCTGCTTCCGCGCCTTTCGCTGTCCAGAAAGATCTCCCCCTCCCAAAAAACGAGGACAGGGACTGACAGTCTGACTGCACTCCCGGCGACACCAATGCAATGTAGCGCACAAGGGGTGGACCCGTAAGACTGGCCCAAAGGCCCCTCCGAAGTGGCCCATATGGCTGGTGCACCCATTTAACTGGTGATCGGCGGATGCAAGCTCTGAATTGCCTGAGGGAACATTCAAATCAAACTTCATTCATCATCACGTAATCGAGGGGGAGGTCAATTCGTCGATGATGATGCCTCAAGGCCCTCGCGCTAAATTAAATTAAAAAAGAAAGAGGAACCTCGGTTCACAGCGATACGGTGAATGTCCCTGGAAAGGCAGGAGAACGAAACGAGCCTCGAGTGAACCACATTTACCGTACTACACAAGCGATGTCTGAGGAGTGAGCTGCACAGTCCTTTGGCCTCGACACACCACTCCCCAACCGCCCAAAAAAATTGGGAGTGCTCTAGAACAACAAAAATTCGAGAAATTTGAGGTGTGCCCCTCGAGAGTGCCCTTAGCCACACTCATTGATTTGCCATGAGGGCAAGGGTGCGCAGCCTGTAGCAGGAATGCTTATGAGCTATTCGCTGCACTCTCCTCATCCTTGTGGACACCATGATGTGAAACCAGGTGCAGGTGCGATGCATCAGGCTGTGACTACGGTTATTGATGAAGAAAATTGAACTTAAACCACCAGTACCTCGCCAGCTAGAAAAAAAAGTCGCGGTCGTTAACGCGCCACGATTTTCGGGGGTCGGGGACTTGAAGGACCGGTAGGAGCTCTTTTTCCTTAGAAATTAAAATAACCCAAAAAACAAAAAACGAGATACCACTTCAAAAAACAAGAAAAGAAGAAAGAAAAAGAAACAACAGGGAGGGTTCTCTCTCTCTCTCTCTCTCTCTCTCTCTCTCTCTCTCTCTCTCTCTCTCTCTCTCTCTCTCTCTCTCTTGGTGCCCTGGCCAAGTTGGTCAAGGCTGTGGGTGACTATAGTCTGCTGTGTGTACTGAAGGTACTAAAGGTGGTGCAAGGGGCTTCGAGGGGACGGACAAATAGGCTGGGGGTAGGCTAGGTAGTGTTTAATGAAGGGAGGGAACAGCCGTTTGCGGTCCTACTATAGGATAAGCACTGTGGGACCAGCTCGTAAAGACCGGGGGTACCCGAGCAACAAAAAAAAAAACGGGAAAAAAACGGGAGGAAAGACTGAATGAAAGTCGGCGGCTTGCATCTGGCGGTGAGTCCAGAATTTCTTGAAATACGATTTCCGTTTAAAAAAATGAATCTTGAAACGCTGCAGCCGCGTGACCTGGGGCCAAGGGAAACGGGGTGGGGGGAACAGTGTATTTAGGACAGACAGCAGGGCCTTTGCTGTCTGAGAGCTACGGGATCTTCGGATCTCACCTCCTGATGAGTCCGCACGTAGGCGGACAGAAACGCATCGAGGGCACTACGAAGCTCGTAGGGGAGATGGTGGCGATGGAGCGGTTATGGCAGAGATGAAATGGTGACAATGGGAAAGCGGGTGGGACAGGGGAAGAGGAGGTGAGAGCTTTTGTGTATAACTACATGAGGGGTTCTCAGGTGGAGAGAATGTAATATCAATCTGGTTCTGCCGTAATCGTGTCGCTGCATGGGCTGTGTTGGCCGCAGTCTACGTTCACTCGGAGGCGCATTGTAATTAGGAGTGCCGTGAACTTCACGGTGGCTATGTCTACATACGGGTAAGTGACTGTCTCAGGACGCAGTGTGTGTGTAGTCGGGGCGAGGTCAATAATCAGAGCTTAGCGAGTAAGGAGATATTTCCCACATATAGTTACATAGTCAGTGACATGGCTTCTCTAGAAGAGTGGGATGTACGGCGGACCGGGCGGAGGACAGGGACCCGGAGGACCGGGAGGAGGAGGTTACGGGAACTCCGGGGGAAGCGATGGGGGAAACCAGGGGGGAGGGAGCTACGAAGGGGGAAACTAGAATGGAAATGGAGGCGTGGGCTACGTCGCGAGCGGAGGTGGTTTGGGAGGAAGACAGTCGATCATATGCTACACCTGTGGAAAGCCGGGCCATTACTCGAGGGACTGTTGGACAAAAAGAGGAAAGAGCGACGATAGTGAGCTCGATGGAATGCGACAGTACTACAGACAAGTACTACAGGAAAGGCGGGAGGCGGAGGAACGAAGAAGGGAGGAGGAACATCGGAGGATACAAGAAGAAAACGAGAGAAGGCGTGAGCAAGACCTGATGTGTAGGACCGAGGAGATGCGCTTACAACTGGAGGCCGGACTGGAGGAGAAATGGCGAAACCAAACGAGAAAAGCAGAAGAAGCCGCGGCGGCAGCAAAGGTGAGAGCGGAGGAGGCAAAGGCAAGGGCCGATGAGGCAAGAGCGAGGGTCGACGGAACTAAGAAGCGGAGCGTGAGTAAGACCGATACACTAGCGAGGTCGTCAAGAAAGAGGACGCGCCTTCGGTTTTCATCCTCGTCGGAGTCGGAAGGAGAGACCACAGAATCCTCGGAGAGTGATAGATCCGACTCTGAGGAAGAGCTACGGAGAGCCATAAAAAGACTGAAGGAGAAGAAGAAAGCAAAGAAGACGAAGGAGAAGGCGAAGGGGATGAAAGAGAAAGAGAGGGGGAAAGAGAAAGAGAAAATACCGGTTAAGAATGGCAATCATACTACGGAAAGGGGCGAGTCTTCGAGGCAAAGGGCGAGGTGTAACTACAGAAAAGAGGACGATGCGCTGCGAAACGCGAATGACATAGGCGCTGGTTTTGAAGAGCGAAGTCCGCCAAGAACGGGAGGCTTGAGATTTGGAGTTCCGTACAACAACAACGAACAGCAAGGTGAAGAGCCCAAGACTCCAATGGAGAACGGACATAAAGGTTTGGCCGCAAAATGTTTCAGGGAAGGAATTATAGACTATTGTTTGTCTACGCAGAAGATACTATCTTCAAAGAAGGTTTTTCTACTGAGGAAGATTTGTCAGAAGAAGGGGATCCGATATACAAAGAAGCCTGAAATCATCGACGTGTTGGCAAGGGAGCAGGTCATGCTGGCGTACGAAGGCTTCGAAGAGAACGAGGGAACAGAAGATGATAGTGAACAGGCAACGGTAAGGCTCGACGAAGATGTTCGGGGACCGAATCGGAAGGAAAGCACCCAGGGAACGAGATCATCGGTGAAGTCTGCACCGCCAAGGGTCACTCTGAAGTCAGCAGCGAAGAAGAAGGAGCAGGAGTCGAGCTGACTACCTGCGCCCCCTACGACTCGCGCCCTGGGGGAGACATTGAACTCCCATTTGAGGAAGCGGTCGGCCCTTTGGGGGCAGGGCAGGAGAAACGAGCTTATGAATGAAGTCGAGAAGGTTATTACCATCACTACGCTAATGCTTACTCTGCGTGGACAAATCCCATGGTTGGAGAAGTACGTCGCTAGATCGGAAGGTGTGGTCGATATGGTGGATCTGACACGGCCGGGCGTATACGTGATCGGTAGCCCCTGGTCGAAGAAGACGTACGTAGGCAGTACAGTACGACCGCTGATGCAGAGATGGAGAGAGCACCTGAGTAATGCGAACACAGACGCGATCGGTCAATCCCCGAAGCTGTATCGGTGGATGCGGCACTCGGGGATGGGAAATTTTATGATATTACCGGTACGTCACGTCGATGAGATGGACGATCGGGCTTTCGAGTTACATACCATCAAGGATTTCTCTCCAAGTCTGAACATATGTAATACGAAGGGATGCAAACAAGGGACGAAGTGCAGGAAAAGGAAAGGAAGGCGTGAGAGGAAAAAGCTGAAGACGACACAAACGGAGGTGAAGACCGCAGTGAGTTTCAAGAATGGCGAGAACGAACCACCACGGACTTCTTTCCTGTCCTGGCTTGGAGAAGAATGGAAGAGGGATAAGAAGACAGATCGAAGGGTGATTTTCCAAAAAGGGAAGATTTGGACCGATGGATGGAAGAAGCTCAAGAGCATGTATGGAATGACAAAGGTTCGCGTACACGGGACTTTAAAGAAACTGAAAGCGGCGAAAGGAAATTTGCGACATGGGGCGACTATTATGTTGGTTGGGATAAACAGGACACCAACGACTACTTCAAAGCGGGTTCAGGAGCTGCGCGAGATTCTGAAGAAGCCTTCCCTGGCGACACAGCCGGTAACAAGATCCACGAACCAGTTGGTGGGGCTATATCGGGCTGCGGGATTTTTAGGTGACAAAAAAACGAAGAATGACCTGCGGTTGAAAATTGATCGGGCCATGCGGAAGAAGACGAACGTGGGGATAAGAAGGAGGGTTCAGGTTAAGATAATGTACGACAGGAGGATTGTTAAGAAGAAGATCAGAGTGGCAACTGAAGGAGTGGTTACGAAGTGCGTGGAGGATCAGGCAGCGACGAACTTGATTAAGAGTCGATTGCGGGTTACATGGTGTCGAAGCAGGATGGTGGGAGAAATCATCCACACTCACAATACGCAAACGTGAAGGAACAGGCGTGCACATGTCGAGGATCGGGGCTACCTACGATAGGAGGACACGTGATGACCCGTGTCTCGGACCTGTCGGATATCCCGGATTTTGTGAGGAATGCCAAGAACGTGACGTGTAATACGCAGGAGAAATGTGATGAGTACTGCACGCAGGCTATTCTTGTGGCTACGAATCATCTGAATAGCCGACCTGAAGAGGTGACTGTTCCTATGGGTGGCTTTCTGAATGGGAGTAATGAGACAGGGGAGAATGGAGCATGGAGTGAGGCAGCAGTGGCAAGCTGGGCGAAGCGTTTTTCGGGTTTCGTTTTGGCCCCAATCGACCGAAATCAAGGGGATACGGCTATGCTCTGCCCGATACTGTATCGACACGCCTTCGGGAAGGTGTTTGCCTGGAATGCGGACTATGCCCGGGTGGAAGCAGGAGAAAAAGAGGTGCTGATGGAGGCAAGGAGACATTTCGAGGGGGAAGGCCTGCAGAGGGTGGCTGAGTGGAAAAAGGACGGGCGGATAGGTCGGGCATATGTGATCCCGAAGGATAAAGATTTGACGAGATGGAGACCGATCGCACCGGCAACCGGAGATCCCGCTGGGCAAGCTAAAAAAAGATTAGCCAGGGCACTACATTATTTGATGAAGATGTTTCCTGCTAAACAATCATTCTACCTGAATTCAATTCAAGAGCTACCGGCGCGATTGCAGGCAACTACGAAGAGATTGACGGAAGCACAATGTACAAGGGCGGAGGGGAGATGTTACGATATTAAAGATATGTTTACTCGGATTCCGCATGCAGCAGTGCGGAAGGCAGTATGGCAGCTTCTAGTTTGGTATGCAAACAGGGAATGGAAACAAGTGAAGGTTTCCAGGAGAGGGAAGATGTGCGTTTTGAGTAAAACGTGTAAAAAGACTGACGGATATGCGGGAATTAACTTCAAGCTCATGTTGGGCATGGTGAATTTTGACCTGAAGCATGCCTACATCACGTGTGGGGAGGAGATCAGGAGACAGGTGGCAGGGATCCCAATGGGAAAATCTACAAGCCCAGTTCAGGCCACCATTACATGTGCGATGGCCGAGTTCAATTTTCTGTCGGGATTGGGCAGTGATCGGAGACTGATTGGGGGGTGGAGGATAGTTGATGACATTACCGTTATTGTGGGAAGACGACCCGAGGGAGGCGAGGTGGATAAAGAACAGGGGGACCGACTGTTCCAGGCGCTGGAGTCGAGCTATGACAACAATCTGCATCTGATAAAAAAGGACGAGTCCAAGGATTAGTGGCATTTCCTTGGAGGAACAATGTACGTGTTGGAGAATCCTCTAAGACTGCTGTATGTACCAGAGACTAAGAATTTGAAGTCACTGAGAGAGGAAGCGAGACTGAGGTATCAAACCATGTAGGACTACTGCTCCTACACAGAGAAGAAGACCAAGAAGACCGCTTTGGCGGCAACTTTGAAGAGACTGTGGTCATCGACGTCTAGTCAAGCATTGGTGGTCGGATCTATTGCATATGCTGTGTGGGAAGCAAACCTCCGGGGCTACGCCCCGGAGGTCTCGCTTGGTGCCCTGGCCAAGTTGGTCAAGGTTGTCGGTGACTATAGTCTGCTGTGTGTACTGAAGGTACTAAAGGTGGTGCAAGGGGCTTCGAGGGGACGCACAAATAGGCTGGGGGTAGGCTAGGTAGTGTTTAATGAAGGGAGGGAACAACCGTTTGCGGTCCTACTATAGGATAAACACTGTGGGACCAGCTCGTAAAGACCGGGGGTACCCGAGCAAAAAAAAAAACGGAAAAAAAAACGGAAAGAAAGACTGAATGAAAGTCGGCGGCTTGCATCTGGCGGTGAGTCCATAATTTCTTGAAATACGATTCCCGTTTAAAAAAATGAATCTTGAAACGCTGCAGCCGCGTAACCTGGGGCCAAGGGAAACGGGGTGGGGGGAACAATGTATTTAGGACAGACAGCAGGGCCTTTGCTGTATGAGAGCTACGGGATCTTCGGATCTCACCTCCTGATGAGTCCGCACGTAGGCGGACAGAAACACATCGAGGGCACTACGAAGCTCGTAGGGGAGATGGTGGCGATGGAGCGGTTATGGCAGAGATGAAATGGTGACAATGGGAAAGCGGGTGGGACAG